CCTAAAACCCCTAAACCCTACAAGCCCTAAAACCCTTAACCCCTAAACCCTAAACCCGAAAGCCCCAAACACCCAGGCTTTCCTACCTTATTGAGAGGGTCTATATCCTCAAGGGTCCCCCTAATCCTAACTCCCAGGCTTGAAGGAGCCTCCGGAGAGTCAGTGCCCGTGTCCTTCGATCTTGCCGCACTCGGCAACTTGGACCGCCGGGGAGAGCGTATCCAGCTCGAGGGCTGTGGCTTTAGGGCTTGTGTTTGGTGTTTAGGGTTTGAGGGTTTAGTGTTTAGGGTTTGGGGCGGTCTTTGGGAAGCTACGATTCTTAGGTTGATTGAGGTGTCCTCTCAGCAGGGCGTGCCTTGTTCAGCGTCCTGCTCGTGTGCGCAGAGATTGCCATAATACCCACAAGCACCCGTTCAAGAACACGAAATCTGACATGAACCCGAGGCCCAAAGCACGATGAGCTTCCACACCCAAATCTCGAAGAACTCAGCATGGAGGACTCATTCAAAGACCCACCCGAAAAGTGCTCCAGGGCTTGCCAAGGCAACAACTCTCTTGAAGGCAATGCCCAAGACACCGACGACATTATCCTCGGAATGCCTCTCTGGGCCTTCTACTACACTGTCTTCAACATCACGGGCCACTCCGTGTCCCTGATCCCACATCCGTGCCCTGAGCCGCATTGGGGCTTTGCAGTTCAGGCTTGCGTTGGCGGGATTTGGGGGGACGGAGGCGTGTCCGAGCTGCGTATCTGGGAAACCACACATCCTTCAGATGATGCCCGCATGTGATGTGGACAGCAGCTGATGACAGCAGCTGATGTGGCTTTCACGTTCCTGACTGATAATTTCCTAAGTCCTGATAACGTGTGTCTTGCAAATAAACAGCCTGGGAGGGGGGGTCGACAGCTCCAACCAGCCTCGAAACCAAGAGATAACATGCTCGTGCCCGCTACTCCAAGATTCCCAAAGCATCTTCCGAAGGTCCTCTGACCCTAAACCTCCGGCCCACTACACCTTAGCTTTTCAGAGAACCCAATACCCCTTAACTAAGGAATATACCTTAAATTATCAGGGCCTTAATCTTATGATTTAAGGTATATTCCTTTTTGAAGGGNNGAAGGGCTATTGGGCTCTCTGGGTTACGGTTCCTGAACTCTAAGTAAGCCCTGGAGCTTCTACCGTACGGAAAGCCGATAGGATCGAAGCTGTTGCTGCCATTCCTTTGCCGGAAAACTTCGTGGCAGAGAACGACCCGAGCTCAGGCTCCTCTTGCACTTGAACGCCCTACTGTCGGGATCGGAATAACTGGGAAAGGGCTTTTCTGTTACATTCTGCTATGAGTATACTTCGAATTTTAAAGGGAGCCACTTGCAAATTCTTCCGACCTCTGTATTAAGCCGCAGAACCCCTCACTTCCAGATTCCCAAGCCCCAAAAAATGTCAAGCCTTTCGATATTCAAGCACCCAAACCTTACAGCCTTAAGCGGCAATCTCCGACAAAACGTTAAGCTCATATAGCTTATATAATAAGGCAATGCAGCAAATTCATGAAGTACTGGGATGTCAGGGAGAGCAGATAAATGACCGGGAAGAGCGCGGAAAAGGTAGTTCAGACCCGCATGCCTTGTGAATCTAGCATTCCATGTCCTTGGGTTGCATGGGGTTTCTTTCTTGAGAGATGGGATGCCTCAAGAAGCTAACAAGAGATTCTGACTGTGTATGCTACTTCCCGAGTCGCTGCCCAAGAGCTTCGAACTTTTCAGTTTTTTCCGAAAGGCATGAACTGGGTTGAACTCAACCTCCATCACGTTTAAAGAAAGCTTCTTAGATGGGTCTTATTGATGTCATATACCGTTTCGATTATAGTTCGAAGAAGCCAGACGATTCTTTCCTTGCGGCATTCTCATACAGCTCTCCTCAACTTTGCTTCAGGCCCTCAGCTCCCCTGGGCAAAATCAGCGCTGCTCCTTGGGGTTCCTGAACGCGAGTAGCCTGTAATCGACCCCGAGACGTTAGTCAATTCATACCGGCCCCCCCCCCCCCCCCNNTAAACCCTAAACCCTAACCCCTTTAGTTTCTGAAGACGCAGCCTGCAAGGCCCCACTTTCGCACCAGTCCACCCTGGTGCCTTGAAACCACCTGCCAGGTCTGGAGGAGCCACCCGTGCATGTTTGAGGAGCCTTTCCTCACCCTTTTGTCTGACCTGGATGCACAGCGTTCGGAGGAGTTTGGTTTCAAGAAACGTTGGACCTCTGTGTAAAGTGGAGTGGCCGTCGCCTCAGTGGTGCTCACTCTGCGGTGGCTCCGCCGACATTGTACAGGAACGCTGGCATCATGGATTCTGTATAGAAGAGTTCAATGCAATTCAAAAAGGCCTTCGGTGTGGCTTCATAAGAGGGTAAAGGCATTGGATATAGGGGTCAGGATCTAGGACGTCTGCTTCTGACCCCGAAAGCATGCGCAGTAGGTCGGGTCGTCATACTGCCCACAAGCACGCTGCTTCAATGGTGTGCCGCTCTGGGCGTTTGTTCGGGTATTTTGCACCGCATGTTCAGCTTCGGATGTGGAGTGCTGCTGTTTTTGCCACGATCACCCTGATTATCCGTGCCTCCTTTGCCTGAGACAGGCTGCAACATCGGAGGTGGTGCCGCCGCAGCAGCCGCCGCCGCATAGCTTCAGTTGGCTGTGGGATGCTGTGGGCTTGCTGCCAATGGCGTCAACTGGTTTGGCACGCATGACCCCGATCCTAGGCCAAAAGGAGCAAGCCCCACCTCAAGCCGAAATTTAGCACGACAAGTCTAGGCTTTAGAAAACGCTCTCAGAATGTGGAGTACTGTTCTCGTTTCCCCGAAACTGTTGCTCGCAGCTTTCCGCGACGATAGAGCTCTCGTACGCGCTGCGGGAGGCAGGGTTCAATTCCTGAACTCCTACACCCAAAACCCTAAACCTCCAAACCCAAACTTCCAGAATCCCCCCCAAATCCCCAAGATCCCTTTAAAAAAAACACCCTCCCAGGAAAACCCCCCTAAAACCCCCAGCGCACGCGGTTCAAGGCCAGAGCCAGAGCCGCCTCCGACTCCGGCGCCGTCTCTACCAGGCCCCCTCCCTGTCGGTTTAGGGTTTAGGGTTTAGGGTTTTGGGTTTTGGGTTTAGGGTTTAGGGGTTTAGGGTTTAGGGGTTTGGGCCTCAAAAGGTTGGATGAAGGTAGGTGGGATATTCCCAAATACTAGTCCCCATATACAGGATCCCTAATCCTCACATTTTTTGAGCGCTCCCACCCTTAGGGGGGAGGCTCATACTTTCTGCGACGACGACTACTGCTTCAACTACTAGCAGTAACACTGCTACTTCTTTCTTATAACATGCTGAGAAGACTCCTACTGCAACAAGAACAGTGAAAACAACAGAAATCACAATAAGACCAATAGTACTAGTAATAGTACTAGCAACACTAATACTAGTAATAGCAGTGGTAATAGTAATCGTCCTACAAGGTAGGAACAGTGACATGAGCCGACGGAGCATCTACAACGACAAAAGTACCGCTGTCGGTAGCTGACATGAAGCTTGCAAGAGGCACTTCCAAGGTCGACGGGCCGGACGTTTCGGAAGCACCCCCGGGCCTGGAGGCAGGCTTTGCAGGGGCCGGCGGGCTCAATATAGGGGCCTTAATAAGTAGAATCGGGTTTGGGGGTATATTATATGATAACTATAGTAAGGACCCTATTCTAATTAAGATGTTGGGGATTGCAGGTGAAGTGGTATTGTACGGTATTATGTTTTTAGGGCCTGCTTCATAAACTGCGGCAAGATGGTGTTCATTGAGGCCCCTACTGTCATGAACTCCTCGAAGCCAGCAGCTCAACAGGAAGCTTTATTATAATCGCTTTTGTGATAAGTCACTTCATTACGTGGAACAAGAATAAGATTGGAATCGCAGCAATATGATACTAGCTTTGACAGTGACAATAATAATGAATCATGGACGACTACTAGTACTACCACGGCTGCTGCTACTGCTGCTGCTGCTGCCACTGCTACTGCTATTAATGTTAATGATAATCGTTATAGTACGCCTGATAGCAATGATTAATAGGAATGGCAATACCACTATCAATGATAATAGCTGTAGCCATCACAATCAAAGCATTAACAATAGCAATAACACTGACAGTGACGATACATTCATAACCATGGCAAGAGCACTACAAAATGATATTTATGGTGACAGCAGCAAAGATACTGATGAGCACAACATTGTCCATGCATTTGGTGTTGGTTTCCGGCCTCAGGGTGTCAGGCTCTTGCATAGGGGTTTCCGAAAATAGGGGACCCTAACATAGTACCCTAATTAGTAAGATAACTATGATCAGGACCCCAAAACAAAGGTACCCTAATTTTCGGAAAGTCCCACATCAACCAGGTATGGCAGATCCACGCTCAACGTCCTGGTTCTGAGCCCATGGAGGACTCCCGCAGAGAGCTTTAAGTGACTTCGGGAAGCCTTAGATTTCACAGGTTGAGGAGGGATTGGCTTCTTGGCCTTTCGGAGATTTGAGGCTAGCCGAAGCAATCTAGGAAGCCATGATGCAAGGAATGAGCTGAAAGAGAACAGCAGTTCAAGTCCCAGCCACTCAAGCACCTGCAGGCCCGAACACGAAGCACATCGACTTCATCCCTCAGTCTGCAGCACTCTGGAGCTGTTAAGTCCTTTTTAGCAGCCCGAACGTCCCCACTCTCCAACGATCCCTGAAGAAAGCTTCCCCAGCCTCAACAAGGTTCGTGTGTGAGCAGCTCTGAAGCCCTTTGCCCTTTTCTGGACTTTTGAAGCCCGCAGTCCGTCACCAAGCCGCTGGGAATTCACAGCCGTTGGGGCGGCTGGGCTGCAGAAAGAGGATGGTCTTTGCCTGGGCTCCATGGGGCTTACTTGATATAGGGGCGGTAATGAATAAGTAGAGTAGGGTTTGGGGGTGTATTATACAAAAATTACAGTAAGGAGCCCCCCTAAATAATTACCAACACTATTGTAGAGGTTCCTTATTGCAAGTCTAGTATAATGTGCCCCAAAACCCCATTCTAATTATTAAGGCCCCTACATTACAGGAGTGTTGCGCTGTGATACGGTTGAGGGACAAAATCCTGCATGACCTTATACACCTAAACTATGGGATTTATGGCACTATACTATACTTGGGTCATGCAGAATTTTGTCCATCAACAGTATGGTGGTGTAGCGTTGACGATTCAGTTGCCCTCAGGCTTCTCGGGGTAATTCTTCGAGAGGACAGTAGGGTTTAGGGGTTTAGGGTTTAGGGTAGAGTTTTCACTTGCCGGTGATCGTGCGCAAGAGCGTCCATGATCCACGGCAAGTAGTGGGGTAGTACTTGCAAATGCAATGCGGAGAGTCATGAGGTCGAGTATCTTAGCCACATTCCAGTACTCGAACGGTGCTGATAGAAGCATGTCTTCCATCGGAGTTGCATGACTTGGCTTTTATCAGGGATCTTGTGCCTGTCACCGGAAACATTCAATCCAGGCAGAGTCACCGCGGAGCCAGAAGTCGGAGCAGAATGCCAACCGCACGACCTGCGAGGACTCCTCTGACTTGACTTGCCTAGAGCATCGGAGATTTGGGGCTAAGGAATTGTGTTTTTCTTAGGCTTGAGTGCAGGGTTTGGATTTCAGGAGTTGAAACTGGTTCTTGCCCATGCTGTTCTGGCTACGACCCCACACACACACAGACACACGCACTTGCTTTGTACAAGTCCCAATACTGAGCTAGCAGCTGCGAGAACTGCTATTTAGCTGTTGGTGTTTGGGCTGTTGGTGTTGCTGTTGATTATGGCGCCGCTGCTGCTGCTGCTGCTGCTGTTGTTCTTGATGTTGCCTGCTGCTGCTGCTTGCTGCTGCTGCTGCTGCTGCTGCTGTTGTCTTTGTTGCCTCACGTGCACGAGTAGTCGTTTTCTTGCACTCGTAGAGACCTTCTTCTTAACATTACGACTACGATGCTCCTTGTGATAATGCCCTTAGCACCTTGAGCCAAACTGCTGATAGAACGCTCCAACGCGGAAACTACATGGCGGACTACATGCGCATCTCTGTGAGGCGTTCGTTGAACATCAGCATCACATAACAGCCTGCTTGATCCAAACTCCCGGTTGAAAAGCTCCTTTGACTCTCATCAGAAAAGTGCCTTTGGTGTCCATGCTGCAAGGACAAAATTAAAAACCTTAAGCCTTCAGGCTTTCGCAGAGCCGGGTAAGCAAAACGGTACAAAAACCTGGTCCGAGGACTCACGAAGCTCGCTTCACTGCTGCCCCCGTCCCTCTTCACATCAACGTCGACTGCATCTTGGCAGGGATTTGCCTCATGGAAGCTCTCTGAATGAAGGACCTCTTTCTTGTTTACTGGTATCTGGAGCTACCCTAAACCCTAAACCCTGCTAATCGTCTGGCAGCTCTCCGGCCCAAGCCATCACAGGAGCATCAGCGACGCCCTAAACCCACCCGAGGCCCCAAAATGCCTCAAATCTGCAATCCTAGAGCCCCTGAGTGGTACCCTTTTGCCCCTTTTATTTTAAAGGGCCGCCTTGCTAAAACCGAATAGTAGGAGAAAGGGTACCCTTATTATAAAGAGGCTACTCAGGAACCAAGAATCCTAGAGCCCCAAGTCCCAAAAAGCCTTGGACCTCGGTTTAGGGTTTGGGGTTT